GTTGGATTGTTCACCCACTAATATGTGGAACGTGAGCTGGGTTTAGACCGTCGTGAGACAGGTTAGTTTTACCCTACTGATGAGTTCGTTGTCTAAACAGTAATCCAACCCAGTACGAGAGGAACCGTTGGTTCAGATAATTGGTAACTGCGGTTAGCTGAAAAGCTAGTGCCGCCAAGCTACCATCTGTAGGATTATGGCTGAACGCCTCTAAGTCAGAATCCATGCTGGAATAGACGATAATCACCTTTCCCGATGTGCCGCGAATAGCGATAGGTGTCTTCTGGACACCCAACATCATACAATTGCAACGCACTCCGCTGCCTGTCAAGTACTGGCGGTGGAGAGTAGGCTGATTTGTAATTTCAAATATTGGGAAAGATAAATCCTTTGTAGACGACTTAACTACAGAACGGGGTGTTGTAAGCATGAGAGTAGTCTTGTACTACGATCTGCTGAGATTTAGCCCTTGTTCTATTGATTTGTTCAGAAATGAACATTTCTCCCCCCAATTGCAAACGCGCAATGTTAAAACTATAAAGTTAAGCAGTCGAAATAAGGCTGCGTTAAAGTGATTTACTTTCGCTATGGGGCGGCGAATGTAACCGGTCAAAGTGCTGGTAGAGAGTTAATACTGTTAAGCTTAAGATCGTCAAAGTCTTTGCTTTGTCTTAGTGAGGTTTGTTCGCAAAAATCGCTAAGTGCCGCTGCTATTGTTTTCCGAGCCAAATTCGGCGACCTTAGTATCGGGTTTATAACAGGCAGAAAGCGAGAAACACTTTGCGTGAAAATCGCTAAGTGCCAGCGCTAATGATTTCTGAGCCAAAATCGGAGATTTTAGTATGGGGGTTTAACAGGGCAAGCTAGACGGCAGGGCGTAAAATTAGACTTGGTTTAAGTATGTTAAAAGAGAGCGAATAGCGTGAATTAGACCTGGTTTAACTATGTTAAAAAAAGCGGAATAGCATGAATTAGACTTGGTTTAACTATGTTAAAGAGAGCGGAATAGCATAAAATAGACTTGGTTTAAGTATGTTAAAAGAGAGCGAAATAGCGTAAATTAGACTTGGTTTAACTATGTTAAAAGAGAGCGAAATAGCGTAAATTAGACTTGGTTTAACTATGTTAAAGAGAGCGGAATAGCATAAAATAGACTTGGTTTAACTATGTTAAAACGAGCGGAATAGCATGAAATAGACTTGGTTTAAGTATGTTAAAAGAGAGCGAAATAGCGTGAATTAGACTTGGTTTAAGTATGTTAAAGAGAGCGGAATAGCATGAAATAGACTAGGTTTAACTATGTTAAAAGATAGCGAAATAGCGTGAATTAGACTTGGTTTAACTATGTTAAAGAGAGCGGAATAGCATGAAATAGACTTGGTTTAACTATGTTAAAAGAGAGCGAAATAGCGTGAATTAGACTTGGTTTAAGTATGTTAAAGAGAGCAGAATAGCGCGAATTAGACTTGGTTTAAGTATGTTAGAGAGAGCAGAGTAGCGTGAATTAGACTTAGTTTAAGTATGTTAAAGAGAGCGGAATAGCGTGAATTAGACTAGGATAAAGTATGCAAAATGAAGCTGAGGACTTTGTGAAAAAATGCGAAGTTGTTTGCTGTTCTAATTGTATGGGTTTGGAGATGTTTTTGGCTGGATTAATAACAGGCAGGAAGCGCGAGGAAACGCAGCGAATATGGACGCGTACGCGGAAGGTGACGGCGGAGGAAGCGCGGATATGGAGGTGAAAATGGTGAAGGTGATGGCGCGAGGAAGGTGACGGCGCATGGGTGTGAATATGGAGGTGATGAAAGGTGACGGGAGGAAACGCATGATGTATATGACAAGTTAGTGTCGTACTTAAGCGGAGCGCGCGCTGTGCATGTATGAAGGTGTCGAAGGTGTTCATATTGCCTAAGACGCGTACGTGCACATGTCATGTCGCATAGGAAGCGTAGGTATGGTTGTGCAAGTCGTAAATGGCCACTTTGGTGGTTTAACATTGTTTCCAGGCCGCGTATGCGCAAATATGGGGTGCGGCGGCTATCTGCACTGCTGTGTATGAAGGTGTCGGTCTGTGTGGGGTTCCTATCGGAGAGAATACGTATGCTGCGTTGTAGGAGTGAGCTGCTGGCCACACGTTTGTATTGGAGTGCGCCACACCACCCCCCTTTTTGTTTTGTTACTATATAAAGTGTAGCCATCCACCCAGCCAATTCTGAGGGCCAGAAGGGGTATTGGGGGCCATCGTGTGCAGTCTATGGCCACGTATGTGGACATGTGAGTGTGTAAATGTGTTGTACCAATGTATACGAGTGATAAACACTAATAGGTGTGTCGGTCAAAGTCAAATTGTAGACGGCCATCTTAGTGCTGAAAGCACCATATCCCGTCTGCTCTGTGATCTTCTGCCTCTGTGAGAAGTTGAGCACCCTCAAGCTCGGGTAGTACTCGGGTGGGTGACCACCGGGGAAGTCCGGGTGCTGTCTACTTTTTAGCCCGTTTTGAGCTGTTTACCGACTTTGCGTGTGTTTGCAAACGCAAGATATGATGTCTGGCATGTGCCCACACGACATCTTGGTTTTAGTATGCCTGGCGAGCCACTACACACGAGATCTTGTTTTTTGTATGGTGTTCTTTAATTTGATTATTATGAAGATGAAAGAGAACCGTTAGAACGGGTATGAAGGGTGTTCTAGGGGTGCTTTTCGGTGCTCTTTCACGTGGACATATCGCAGCATGCGACATGTCAGCGGAACACTGTCTAAATTAATAAATACTGTTTTGGCCGATTTCTAAAAGCGTCTATAAAAGGGCATAAGTGCAATGACTCGTCTTTGTAACCCTGCGGCCTAGGCGTAGTTTTTCACGGGGAATCCGAATATCAAAGGTAGATTTATGTACAACATGTACTTTTTTTGCAACATGTACTTTTTATCTACGGGACATAGACATATGTAAAAACACACGGCGGAGCCGTTCCCGCAATCAGAATTTGTCTAACTCTTCTAGATCAAAAGTTATTCAGCGAAATGTGAGACTTTGTTTGGCATGCTCTTTTTTTAGGTGGTTTTTTCCGGTTTTATGTGCCGCCCGGCAGATCTGGCCTGCAGACTTTAGCAGAAAACTTGGCGCATGTGTTCGCACGACCGCTCCCAAAGTTTTACAAGCATATCTCCAGTAGTTGCTTCGCAATGATTTTTTTAGTGACGCCAAAAAACGCCATTTTCGCGGAAAATGGACACCTTGGACGGCCAAAATCACCACTTTTGGCCATGTTTGGCCCTGCACATCCAGGAAGCAAATGAGACTGCTCCGTATAAAAACTGCCCTAGGGGTGCTTTTATGCGCGCATTCCCGTGGTCAAGTCAGATTTTGGCTAAATTCAAATGCCTTGTCTATAAACACTTTTTTCGACCTAAATTTTCACCTGTTTTGTCCCGAAATGATAGCACCCATTCTTTATTTGCCTATATATCGCGAAGGAGGCAACTTTTTTGGTTGTAAGTATAGATAAAAAATTTAATTCGGCGTTTTAGCGCACGAGGAACAAAAGTCTCCATACAAGCTACCCTCGGTTTCTAATGACTTTTTGAGTTAGGGAAGCGTGGATCTTCTTTTTTTCTTGTTTCCAGGACTTCACATGAACTTCCAACTCAACTCGAATTGTCATCCCGGGCCCACCACGCATCGAAACGACACTTTTCTCGGAACTGGCGAATAAAAAATAGGTCACCAGATGCGCAAGAGTCTGGGATGACAGAATATCAAAACAATAACAGAATCGTTAGTACTTTTTTTGTCACCAGCGCCCTTTTTCTGTTTTCGCGTACATAATCGAGCATAACTTTATCAATTTATACCCATATCGACCCGATATCGATTGTCACGATAGTGTACTTTTTTTAGGCGCACATGATGGTAAAAAGAACGGCCACCTATTCCCAGCCGTTCTTAAGTTATGCTCTTTTAAAGATTTTACTTTAGAGATGACACACCCTCTCATTTCACTCCATTACATGCTCTTTTGCTGATTACGCGGCACAGACGCAGAAATCATGGTTCGCAGTCGAACATTTTGGAAGAGGCGCATCGAAACGGAACATTTTCTTAAAATAAACAGTGATATTACAAAGAGTGGGTTTCTCGACGCTGTGAGCAAGCGATTGGCTTACCTGAAACTCCCCAAAAAATATAAAATTAAACCTTTTTCTGGACTCGTAGGAAATGAAAATCGACGTGAATCCTTAGGGCAGTTAGTGTGTTTTAGTATCATACTTAACACCACAAAGTTTTACGGGGCACTCTACAATACTCTTCCCAAGACGCAAGAAAATGTTCATTTTGGGGGGTCCTCTAACGCGAACTTAATGATAAAATACCGCACTTAGTCCATAAAATACGAACTTAGGCACTATTCGCACTTAGTAAAATAACTTCTCGCACTTAGAACGGGTAATTTATGTAAATTACTTTATGGGTGACTGCTGAGTTCTAACAAAACTGAAAGATACTGACTAGCTGCTGGCGCGGCGGTTACTTTTCCAGCTATAAATAGATGTTAAACGAGTAGTCTGTAACTGTCAGCAGTAATCAATTCCCGTCAATCTGCTGTAGATTAACGGGAATTTTTGTTAAGACGACGTAAACAAAAGCGAGTATCTTTCTTGTGACGGTTTCCTAGTATATGTGAGGTGACAAGTCGGTTACTGAGTGTAATTTTGGAAATGGCGTGTGGGTTTCTAAGATTATAGTTGGTTTTTGAGGCGTTACTTTGCTGTTTAGGGTGATTTCTCGGTCTTATTTTAGGATAAGATTGAGTGAACTCTGGCGATTTATGGTTTTTTAGATGTGTCTTTGTAGGAATAGTTCTGCTGTTTCTAAGACGTGTCTTTAAGACAAACCTTTATAAATCGTGCGTTATTATTGCTTTGGGGAAACTTAGAGCGGTTATTTCGTGCGGGCAGAAATTGAGGTTGTACTCGTATGCTCTGCATAAGAATAAAGCTTTATTTGACGCATTTTATGCGTTGCTCTGGGTATTTTGCGCTGAAGCGATGTGGAATTGCTGACGAGTGTGTGCTTTCGGGATAGTGACCTGACTGTGTGTGCTTGGATGCGAGGAAGCGTTTGCTGACGTTGCGAGGTGCTACATCAACGCTCTGTCGGTGCCGGTGCGAAGGTGTGCTGCGGTTGGTTGTATAGTGTTTCGTGCAGTTTTCGGATTGTGTGTCATTATGCGATACCTTCTGTGGTGCGTTTTGCGCTGGATTTTTCCGGTGGAAAGTTTCAATTTCGGGTAGAACCGTTTTTGATCTGGGGCTAGTTATGCGGCGTGCGGAGGGGACTACAACCCAAAGTATGCTGCGTCGTGCTCTATTATTCGCTTCTTGATCTACCTATTTTTAGGTGGAACTGTTGAAGTGAGGATCATATTTTTGTCTTTCTGTGCAAAAAGATTCTCGGCTATTAATGGCGGCTTTGAGAAAAGCTGCGAGTGGCCTAGCGACTGTTTCGGCGGTTGCGGGGCTGTTTGCGGCTGGCCTCTGTGTTGTTGTTTTGTGCTGGGGGCGACTTGTCGTCTTCTTTAGTATGGAGGATATAAACCTGGGTTGATCCTGCCAGTAGTCATACGCTTGTCTCAAAGATTAAGCCATGCATGTCTAAGTATAAACAATTTTGTACTGTGAAACTGCGAATGGCTCATTATATCAGTTATAGTCTACTCGATAGTACCTTACTACTTGGATACCCGTAGTAATTCTAGAGCTAATACATGCATCAATACCCAACTGCTTGTCGGGCGGGTAGCATTTATTAGATTGAAACCAATGCAGTCTTCGGGCTGGTATTGTGTTGAGTCATAATAACTGTGCGGATCGCGCTTTTGCGCGATAAATCGATTGAGTTTCTGCCCTATCAGCTTTGGATGGTAGGATATGGGCCTACCATGGCATTAACGGGTAACGGGGAATTAGGGTTTGATTCCGGAGAGGGAGCCTTAGAAACGGCTACCACATCCAAGGAAGGCAGCAGGCGCGTAAATTACCCAATCCTGACACAGGGAGGTAGTGACAATAAATAACAATGCTCTGGCTCTTCGAGTCGGGCAATTGGAATGAGAACAATTTAAATCCCTTAACGAGGATCAATTGGAGGGCAAGTCTGGTGCCAGCAGCCGCGGTAATTCCAGCTCCAATAGCGTATATTAAAGTTGTTGCAGTTAAAAAGCTCGTAGTTGGATTTCTGTTTTGGATGTCCGGTCCGCTCCATCTGGGAGTGTGTACTTATGGATATTCGAGGCATTTTTTGTGAGGCTGCCTTTCTGCCATTAAGTTGGTGGGTTGGTGGGCTTGCATCGTTTACTGTGAAAAAATTAGAGTGTTTAAAGCAGGCGTTTGCTCATTTGAATACATTAGCATGGAATAATAAGATACGGCCTTGGTGGTCTATTTTGTTGGTTTGCACACCAGGGTAATGATTAATAGGGACAGTTGGGGGTATTCATATTTCAGCGTCAGAGGGTGGATCAGACAAAGACCGAAGATGAACAAGTCTGCTACCGTGAAGGCGGGGATCTACACGCCGAGGATCTTGGAGAAGGTATGGCGGTAATCCCGGAGGTACCACTGACCACAGAGGAGGTCACGATTGATGATATCCAAGTGGATCCAGGGGCGAACGAACCCACTGAAGTGGATCGTCTGCGTCAGAAGATCTGGGAAAGCCGACATCTGCTGATCGGTAAGGGTAATGCGTTACCGCCCGCCGCCCACGGAGTCAAATGTGACATCGATGTCGGCGACGCGAAACCGATCGCTCAAAGGGTGCGGAAGGTGGCACCTCAGTTCCGAGAAACTGTCGATCTGATAAGGCTGCTGCAGCCAGATCTCACTTTCAATTCCGTGGGGCTGCGCGCTGGGTATATTCTTTCTCCAGAGAGAAGGCGGGGGATTTATATCTTTCGTGGCCTAAATATTAGCGCGGCGGTTTAACACACCCGAATCCCTTAGGGGGGGTTTTTTTGCCCGTTCTCTCTTATAAACAAAGAGTCTTGTGGGGGGAATTGTGTAAAAAACCTTTGGGTCCTTTTTTTTTTATTTTTTTCCTAGACATGGCCAGTGGTTTCTGGGTGGTTACTATGACGGATCGAGCTCGCGCAATATCCGCATTCATCACACCGTTTGGCCTGTTCGAGTGGACCCGGATGCCGTTTGGATTGAAGAACGCACCCCAGATCTACCAACGCCTCATCGATAACGCCCTCTATGGGTTCACCCGAATACCGGAGCCCGAAACGGGTGGATCCGGGGAAGGTGACGCAGAAGTGGATCCATTCGAAGCGGGGGAACCAGGGGATCCTGGGACCCCGTCTGTGTTAGGACGCAGATCTTACATCGACCACATTCTGATCCCGGCGGAATCTCCGGGCTCAGTTGTGCGAAAGAGTGACATCCCTACTGCAGGCGTGTACTAAGTGGAATCTCTCTCATCACGCGGTTAAAGCTATGTGGAAGGCCAGGGGATATTGGCCCATTCAGAGGATGGAGCAACTAGACGCTCTACCATTTCTCCACTCTTACACAGCATCTCTGGATTGATATACGCGTCTC